CATGTGTAATCGAAAAAGACGTGAAAGTTAATATTATGCGCTTTCGAACCTTATGTTCTATTGAATTTCAAGGCTCCTGTAGCAGAGACTTGAATTTGGGCTGGTATGAAAATTGTATTTTTGGAATCTATCACCAATAGGCTTTTTGCCGATGCCTTACTCGTGCATCACTAGACTTGTCCGTGGAGGTAAACGGCAGATTTTTCCACCTGTGTAATCGAAAAAGACGTGAAAGTTAATATTATGCGCTTTCGAACCTTATTTTCTATTGAATTTCAAGGCCCCTGTAGCAAAAACTTGAATTTGTCACGGTCTGAAAATTGTATTTTTGGAATCTACCGTCAATAGGCTTTCTGTTGATGCCTCGTTCTTGCATAACTAGAGAAATTCGTGGACATAAAAAGCAAGTTTTTCCAGCTGCAGTAATCGAAAAAGACGTGAAAGTTAATATTATGCGCTTTCGAACCTTATGTTCTATTGAATTTCAAGGCTCCTGTAGCAGAGACTTGAATTTGGGCTGGTATGAAAATTGTATTTTTGGAATCTATCACCAATAGGCTTTTTGCCGATGCCTTACTCGTGCATCACTAGACTTGTCCGTGGAGGTAAACGGCAGATTTTTCCACCTGTGTAATCGAAAAAGACGTGAAAGTTAATATTATGCGCTTTCGAACCTTATTTTCTATTGAATTTCAAGGCCCCTGTAGCAAAAACTTGAATTTGTCACGGTCTGAAAATTGTATTTTTGGAATCTACCGTCAATAGGCTTTCTGTTGATGCCTCGTTCTTGCATAACTAGAGAAATTCGTGGACATAAAAAGCAAGTTTTTCCAGCTGCAGTAATCGAAAAAGACGTGAAAGTTAATATTATGCGCTTTCGAACCTTATGTTCTATTGAATTTCAAGGCTCCTGTAGCAGAGACTTGAATTTGGGCTGGTATGAAAATTGTATTTTTGGAATCTATCACCAACAGGCTTTTTGTCGATGCCTTATCGTGCATCACTAGACTTGTTCGTGGAGGTAAACGGCAGATTTTTCCACCTGTGTAATCAAAAAAGACGTAAAAGTTAATATTATGCGCTTTCGAACCTTATTTTCTATTGAATTTCAAGGCTCCTGTAGCAAAAACTTGAATTTGGGCTGGTATAAAAATTGTATTTTTGGAATCTATCACCAACAGGCTTTTTGTTGATGCCTTACTCGTGCATCACTAGACTTGTCCGTGGAGGTAAACGGCAGATTTTTCCACCTGTGTAATCGAAAAAAACGTGAAAGTTAATATTATGCTGTTTCGAGCCTTGTGTTCTATTGAATTTCAAGGCCGCTGTAGCAAAAACTTCAATTTGTCATGGTCTGAAAATTGTATTTTTGGAATCTACGGTCAATAGGCTTTCTGTTGATGCCTCGTTCTTGCATAACTAGAGAAATCCGTGGACAAAAAAAGCAAGTTTTTCCAGCTGCATGTGTAATCGAAAAAGACGTGAAAGTTAATATTATGCGCTTTCGAACCTTATGTTCTATTGAATTTCAAGGCTCCTGTAGCAGAGACTTGAATTTGGGCTGGTATGAAAATTGTATTTTTGGAATCTATCACCAACAGGCTTTTTGTCGATGCCTTATCGTGCATCACTAGACTTGTTCGTGGAGGTAAACGGCAGATTTTTCCACCTGTGTAATCAAAAAAGACGTAAAAGTTAATATTATGCGCTTTCGAACCTTATTTTCTATTGAATTTCAAGGCTCCTGTAGCAAAAACTTGAATTTGGGCTGGTATAAAAATTGTATTTTTGGAATCTATCACCAACAGGCTTTTTGTTGATGCCTTACTCGTGCATCACTAGACTTGTCCGTGGAGGTAAACGGCAGATTTTTCCACCTGTGTAATCGAAAAAAACGTGAAAGTTAATATTATGCTGTTTCGAGCCTTGTGTTCTATTGAATTTCAAGGCCGCTGTAGCAAAAACTTCAATTTGTCATGGTCTGAAAATTGTATTTTTGGAATCTACGGTCAATAGGCTTTCTGTTGATGCCTCGTTCTTGCATAACTAGAGAAATCCGTGGACAAAAAAAGCAAGTTTTTCCAGCTGCATGTGTAATCGAAAAAGACGTGAAAGTTAATATTATGCGCTTTCGAACCTTATTTTCTATTGAATTTCAAGGCTCCTGTAGCAAAAACTTGAATTTGAGCTGGTATGAAAATTATATTTTTGGAATCTATCACCAATAGGCTTTTTGTCGATGCCTTACTCGTGCATCACCAGACTTGTCCGTGGAGGTAAACGGCAGATTTTTCCACCTGTGTAATCGAAAAAGACGTGAAAGTTCATATTATTCGCTTTCGAACCTTATTTTCTATTGAATTTCAAGGCTCCTGTAGCAAAAACTTGAATTTGGGCTGGTATGAAAATTGTATTTTTGGAATTTATCACCAATAGGCTTTTTGTCGATGCCTTACTCGTGCATCACTAGACTTGTCCGTGGAGGTAAACGGCAGATTTTTCCACCTGTGTAGTCGAAAAAGACGCGAAAGTTAATATTATGCGCTTTCGAACCTTATTTTCTATTGAATTTCAAGGCTCCTGTAGCAAAAACCTGAATTTGGCACGGTCTGAAAATTGTATTTTTGGAATCTGCGGTCAATAGGCTTTCTCTTGATGCCTCGTTCTTGCATAACTAGAGAGTCCGTGGACATAAAAAGCAAGTTTTTCCAGCTGCATGTGTAATCGAAAAAGACGTGAAAGTTCATATTATTCGCTTTCGAACCTTATTTTCTATTGAATTTCAAGGCTCCTGTAGCAAAAACGTGAATTTGGCACGGTCTGAAAATTGTATTTTTGGAATCTACGGTCAATAGGCTTTCTGTTGATGCCTCGTTCTTGCATAACTAGAGAGTCCGTGCACATAAAAAGCAAGTTTTTCCAGCTGCATGTGTAATCGAAAAAGACGTGAAAGTTAATATTATGCGCTTTCGAACCTTATGTTCTATTGAATTTCAAGGCTCCTGTAGCAGAGACTTGAATTTGAGCTGGTATGAAAATTGTATTTTTGGAATCTATCACCAATAGGCTTTTTGTCGATGCCTTACTCGTGCATCACTGGACTTGTCCGTGGAGGTAAACGGCAAGTTTTTTCAGCTGTGTACTCAAAAAGACGTGAAAGTTAATATTATGCCGTTTCGAACCTTATGTTCTATTGAATTGCAATGACATAGTACAAAACATGAACTGGACTGGACTGAATAGTTGGACTGGACTGGACAGTTGGACTGGACTGCACAGTTTGACTGGACTGGACAGTTGGACTGGACTGGACCTCGGACTGGACAGTTGGACTGGACTGATTTTTACATTTTCTCTATTGTTGACTTGCATGTCACCCGCCATGTCAGGTGGCATGGCGCAAAAGAATATTTTATCACAGAATAAATATACCATGACAAGTATTTTGTGATGTTATCAATGAACATTGTCTGGTGTGTACCAGGAGGAGATTGGTTGCAAGTCAAGAATATAACGTTTTACACCTTAATTTGTTTGATTTTCGGAAATTGAAATACTTTACCTTCGCCGATGACATCGCTTTAAAACTGGAGTGAAATCTCTTTTAAAGCGAAAGAAACCCCAGTATTAAAGTAGAATATAATACAATACCAAACATAAACTATTTATCTGTCTTTGCTATGGGCAGCCTGCTCGCCGAACGTATTAAATTTCGATATTTCAGTCTGCATGGCCATGGGCGTAGAAAGATCGATAATTGGGAGGCAGGAGCTGATATTCATATATTTGTGTTCTGCATCATTTACATACAAATAATAGATATCTATTATTTCTATGATCATTAACTTCTTTTGAGTTTGATTGTTTGTTACGGTCTGCGTACATGAATATATGAATATGAGCCCCCAAAAATATCGATCTTCCGACGACCATGGCCATACGTATCCGAGCAGGCTCCCGCAGGCTACAAGTAGTTTATGTTTGGTATTGTATTCTATTCTACTTAGGGGCCGACCATTTAGCGTTTGAGGGGGATGGAGGGGGTGGGGGGATTTTGAAAAAACATTTCCTGCAAGGCTATTCTGAACAAAAAAATGCCTGCACTAACAAACTGGGGAAAAATATTCTGCCCCAGTATTTGGTTGGAGAAAAAATGTTGCAAAACAGCATGGTTGCAGGGATCGATTTGACCAGTCCCAGAACATCAGCTGGTTTAATTTTTGGAGACCTAGTGTAAGGTTAATTTCGTGTTGGAAAAATCACGTGGAAATTAGTCACGTGCATGCGTCTTTATACCAGCTAAAGAACACTTTAACAATGGTTATGCAAACTATATAAAGATTTTTATATAAAGAAACACTCCTGCTCGTTTTTTAAATAGTACATAAAGCACTATACTTTATATAATAATAAGTTTTAAAAAGTTTGTAGGTAATTATCGTTTCCGATCCAAGAGCATAAAAGCAGAGGAAATTATAGAGCGTTGTTGTGTATAGCATGAAATGAAATGAAATGCCAAATATTATATGAATTTTACGTAAACTGGTTGCTGTAACCTGCAGTGAACTAAATCGCCGAAGTAATTTGCATAAATTACGCAATTCTCCCTCAATACAGTTAGTTACCTGAGATCAGTGGGCGATATTGTTCCCGCCATTTTCAAAACGCGCGATCGACTCTTCCTTTGGACAACAAATACAACAATGCCGCTTCTAAAGAAGAAAATTTACAATTTAACGCCGTCTCCGAAAAACCTAAAGGCCAGTGAAGAGTTATTTGTTATACCAGAGACAAAGGAATGTTTCAGAAGCTACGAGTATCTTTTTATAAGGTTTTTAATAGTATATTTTATCGATGATGGTTCGCAGCATATCGTAGGATGGTATCTACAGTTGATAAATATGGCGGCAGTTTATATCAGAGTGGGAAAATAATGTTAATTCTCCTCATTACATGTGTTAGTTCTATATTTTGGTGGCAAATAATAGAAGAGAGAGATATGGATTGGTTTGGATATATATAATGTATTGATTAGTATAGATTCCTCATTTTATGAATTATGATATTAGATTTAACCAGGAGCAGTTACGAAAAATGCAACTAATACTATAGGCCCTCTGGCCAGAATCCAACCCGTGGCCCTCCATTCCGAACCTACAGCCCTTCGATTCCTGCACCGGAATCACAGGGCGGCAGGTTCGATTCCTGAGGGCCTGTAGTTGCATTTTTTGCAACAGTTCCTCGTTAGGTCTAACAAATGTATAAAATTCACATTTGAAATTTCCATTTACAAAACCCTTATACAATTATAATAGTTCGATATTTAGTTCATCTCATAAACTGTCTACAGGTGTAGAAATGTGGGCAAACAGATGGACCACCCTATGAACTTGCATGTGTAGTTTGCCAGATCGGCAAGTTTGTAGGGTGGGCAATAAATCCCCCGTGCATTTTCGAGACATTAGAGAGGTTAAGATACCCCGGTTCCGATTTACAGGTACGAGTATCGCCATTTTGTTTAGCAATTTTTGCTGATGTCAGCATTTTTGCCTGTAATTTCTACCCGTTTCCCTGCGGTAAACCATGGTCTACACGTAAAAGACAAACGGGTACGGGTGTTTTCTGTTTACTATATGTGGGCCGTTTAAATAGTAAAAATTTTCAACATCTTACCTAAATAAATAATGCACATATGCTGGTCAAAGTTTTCAACAATTTATGGCGAACCTCAACAGCGAAAGTTACCATTCTCTGATCGGTTTTCACACGCCGGAATATATTGGATTTCTTAAGTTACAAGTCGTTCCCCGATTTACGGGTACGGGTATGTGTATATCACCCGTAAACCGGAACCGGGGTATCTTAACCTCTCTATTTTCAGCTGCACCTGTGCACTTTCGAGACAAATTTGCTTGCCCACACAATTTGATAATATTTGGTAATACTGAAATACCAGTAAAATTGTACACCCAAAACTGGGAAAAAGTTGATTGTGCAAAATGGCAGCCAAAATTTGATATCACCCGCTCATTTTGCAAACTTTCCAGCCTCGTTCACGAATGACCTCTCGATGTGCTTGACAGATGATGGAGTAGTTCTTAGGCCCCTGTCCATATGTATCCTGATTTGTTTGTATTCAACAGTGCATACGCCTTCTGTCCATATGCATCCAGTGAAAATGCACACCGAAACAAGAAACTTTGAAGACGGTTTTTGGCATGAAAACTTTTGAAAATGCAACAAATCTAGATACATGTGGACACAATGTAACCAGAATGTTTTAAAATCAATGCTAACTATCCCATAAAGTGCCAGTGCTCTCCCCTTGCCGAGTAAAATTGTCTGGCGTTAGACAGAGTAAAATAGTAAAGTAGGGTGCATCAGGGCGCAATGCGACTCAATGGGTTAACTAGACACATGAGCACACAAGGCCAGTTATCCCATAAATTGCTAGCTAACGCTCTCCCCTTGCCGAGTAAAATTGTCTGGCATTAGACGGAGTAAAATAGTAAAGTAGGGTGCATCAGGGCACAATGCGACTCAATGGGTTAACTAGACACATGGGCAGATAGGCCAGTTAACCCATTGAACATCGGTGCTCTCCCCTTGACGAGTAAAATCATCTGGCGTTAGACTGAGTAAAATAATAAAGTAGGGCGCATCAGGGCTCAATGAGTTATACATGACAGCATCGGTGCTCTCCTCTTCATGAGTAAAATCATCTGGCGTTAGACTGAGTAAAATAATAAAGTAGGGCGCATCAGGGCTCAATGAGTTATACATGACAGTGTAGATTCCAGTCCACGCTGAGCATGCTCGTGTATCGGTTGCCTTGCTAATGAATTAATTAGGGTATCCATACTGTTTTTGCTTCCTTGACATACATGTCAGTGAATATATTGCCAAGGTATTCCTCTACAGTTCTCAAAACTGGTCTTGCCAGTACACTGGTAAATCTGGGCTCACTTACAACGACGCTCTCTCGTCTGAAATGGAAGCTTTGAAACAGCTAAAAACTTTTCCTAACCACTTCAAAGAGCCTGTATTAAAATGTGTTCATAAAGGTAAGTGGTTTTTTTAGGCGGTAATATATATATATATACAATTAATACAATTGTTTTTAAAACCTAAGTCTTGAACATGTAGCGTGAAGTTTAATCTACTGTACCTGTACTATATTTTGACATAAGTTATAAAAAAAATTTTCTGTTTTTTTTTTCACACGGATTGGACAGAGTACAATAAAGTAGGGTGCATTATGGTGCAATGCAATTTAATATGTTAATACATTATGCTAGATATAGCAATTATTTCTTCATGAAACATTCTTCATGAAGCCCTTTCTGTGAGCATTCAGCCGTAATTTGGAAATGGCTTTCTTTTTTGTGCAGCCAAGGGAAATATGAAAGAGGTTACAGACAAATGCATGAAGTTTTTAACAACTCATTACTGCCTTCAAGAAGACGTTGTCATTGTGAACACCAAGAGTAGAAAGTAAGTTGTTTGTTTATAAACTTGTCTCAAGTTGTGTTTGATGTGGATAATGGTTGTATTGAACTTTGATCTCTTATTGTTTAGAAAAAGTCCTGGTGTGATTATTGAAGTTTTAAAAGTATGTACCTTTTTGTTTATCACAATTTTTACTTATAATTGTAATTAAGTCTCTATAATTATTTTTGCCACTCATTACTATCATCAGCATTCTCCACCATCATCACCCGACCAAGCTATTATCTGACCAGCATTCACCACCATTAGGGGTGCACCGGATTTCAAATCCGGCCGGATTTAATGAATTTTCCGGTATCCGGCATCCGGCCGGATTTGGAGAAAATCCGGCCGGATTTAAATTTCTGTTTTCACCTTAAAATATTCACGAAGAATGGGATAAACCATCAATTTGGCAGCTTTAAAGTTTAAAAAACACTTAATATTATTATAAAATATTAAGTTATTAACAAGAAGATATTTAAAAAAGGTTTAAACACAATAAAAAATCTAAACTGACACTAACTAAAAATAGTAAAAAACATAAACCGCCATGAATTATCTCAATTTATCCCCATTACCGGAATTTTTGTCCAAATCCGGTAAATCCGGTTCCGGCCGGATTTGAAAATTCCAAATCCGGTGCACCCCTAACCACCATCATCTATAGACATAATTATCACCATCAGCATTCATCACCACCACCATCAATCATCACCACCATCATCAATCATCATCACCACCATCATTACACCAGCATCATTACACCAGCATTCACCACCATCATTACACCAGCATTCACCACCATCATAGCTGACATCATAATTATCACCATCAGCATTTATCACCACCACCATCAATCATCACCATCAATCATCACCATCAAACATCATCATCATCACCACCATCATTACACCAGCATTCACCACCATCATAATTATCAGCATTCATCCCCACCACCATTAATCACCATTACTCATCATCTGTCACCATCTCTACCACCATTACTCATCATCTGTCATCATTTCCACCACCATTAGTCATCATCACCACCATTAGTCATCATCACCACCATTAGTCATCATCACCACCACCATCATCAGCATTCTCCACCACCATCATCAGCATTCTCCATCATCAGCATTCTCCACCATCATCACCTGACCACTGTCATAGTCATCACCACCACCATTAATCATCATCATCATCATCATCAACATTCTCCACCACCATCATCACCTGACCACTATCATAATCATCATCATCATCATCACCACCATCATCATCACCTAGCATTCACCACCATCATAATTATCATCACCACCATCTGATACCACCATCATCATCATCACCAGCATTCATCACCACAACCATCATAATTATCACTACTACCATTATCTGTGACATGACAGTATATCATAATTGTTTGCTGTTTGCATCACACAGAATGTGGACGTTGATGCCGATGAAAAAGAGAATGGTGGAGTGAATCCCGCAGGAACGCAGGTCAGATTAAGACAGGCGGCTAGCAGTATACTAAACTATTTTTACTATTATTCGGTCAATTATAAGATTATTGTTTCACATTTTGTGTAGGTTTCTCGGTGGAAATATAGTGTCCAATTAACAGGAAGCGACGTGGTTTTGAAAGACCTTTTACCTGACGAAATAAAGTAATGATCCATTTTATCAATTTTTACTGAGTCTACTGCATTATGATAAGTTTATATATTTTTCTGATTTCCATAGACGCAAGACGAAATTGCCTTCAAAAGGATTGTTGAAAATGTTTATAAAGCACAAAGCTGAAAGATTACCTGTTGATGGCAAAGACATTTGGTTGCTTAAGGTCAATAATTTATAAGACATTTTAACCTATTAGTGTACAAGATTTTTCATGAGCAGTGACGTAACCAGCCTGACGATTTTGTTCCGCGTCATTATCATTATTCATTTCTTTAGAAATTGATTGTGTTGATATTTATAAAGATACAGATACAGATATTTCACAGCACACTTCCTATATCAGGGCTTTTCAGTGACTGGTTACATTATGAATAGATAGTTAGTTTGATAGTTTATTTGACACTAAAACTTACAGCTCCAGAATATAACTAATTCCACTGCTGAAATATGTTAGGTTTACAAGGATATTAAAACTAATTTTACATGTATTTGTTTAAGAAAACGAATAAGATTAGACTAAATACTTAAAAATACACATTCACATATATATACTGTATGCGCAGACTTATAATTTGTTACTAAAACACTCACTAATGCTAATTTAGATTAGGTTAAAAACCAGCATATTCGCGGTAAAAAAACAGTTTCTACGTTATTCAAAAAACTTATTAGAGTTATAAGTGATAAAACTGTTCCTAAATCTGTTCGTTTTATGAAGTGGCACGTTAAATTTCCTATTTTTACGCAAAAAATGACTATTGTCATTATTTAATGGCGGTAACAAATCCGTTAATTTGTGCGCAGGATTATTGACTACGTCCTTAAAAAGTTTTGTTGTTAATTCCTGACTTCTATCGTACAGTGATGGAGTGTTCGTGTTCCTCAATGCTTGTTTGTAGTGTTGATCTGGGAATATTATTCGAAAAGCTCGTTTCTGAAGTCTTTCAAGATCATCAGACAGGTATTTGGGTAATGAGTCGTGAAATGCTTGGCACGCATACTCGATGACTGGTCGAATACAGGTGGAGTAGAAAAGGATTAGGTCGTTAGCTGGTAATTTCGCTCGTTTTAGTTGTCTTAAAAAATATAGACGAGGTGCGACCTTTTTACAAACGTGTGAAATATGACTATTCCACTTCAAGTTATTTGAGATGGTTAGACCCAGCAATTTTACCGATGTTACACGTTCGACAATTTTCCATTAATAGTAATTGGCTGGAACTCACGTATGCTTGGTGCAAAGCTTATACACAACTCTTTGCATTTTGATTCGTTTATCTGAAAACCGTTAGCTGTTGATTTCTGGTTAAATTCATCTACGTACTTTTGTAAGTTACTTGGACCATCTCTACAAACTGATTCCGACAAGGATGAGTCGTCAACATATTTCCATAAATCATTAACGTCCTTAACGCTTAGATCATTAATCATAATACAAAATAACCATGGGCCGAGCTTTGTGCCTTGGGGGACGCCGGCTGGGACCTTGCCCCATTCGGAATGGCAATCTTGGCTGAGGTTTACCCTCTGTTCTCGGTCAGTCAGAAAGTCTAAGATCCAAAGCATGACAGACCTCGGTAAGTTATACTTTGTTAACTTCTCCGATAAAATATTGTGGTCTATTAAATCAAATGCTTTACGGAAGTCAAACGTCATAACTCGAGTTGTTGAACCGTT